GACCTGCAGGAACACAGGAAAGGGGGCAACAGCCAGGCAAAGGAGGAGCACAAAGTCCAAGGCAGAGGCCGTACAGACAGATTCCAAGGAGGCACAAGCCACAAAAGAAGAATGGACGGGGGCCACCACCCCTGTTGGGCACAGGGGCGTGGCGGAACCGTCATTCCGTCCGAAGTTTCTTCGAAAGCAACGCTTCGATCTGTTGCATCTGAGAGGAGAACAGAGCCTGCATTTGGTGGCCATGTGATTCCATCTGCTGGTTGACCTGGGTATGGAGAGTCTGGTACTGGGACTCAGTGCGGGCCACGCTGTCGTCAAGCTTCTGGTCAAGCTGCTGTTGGCCTGCTGTCAAGGCATGCACCTGGTGCTCCAAGGCGATGAGGCGAGCTTCTTGTTCACCTGTGCTGTCGACTTCCATGCCTGGGGCCGGGAGCTTGGAAAGGATGGACTTCTCAAGCCTCGTTTCAAACTCCTTCAAGGATGCGTCAGAAGGGACGACAGATCGCGATGGTTGAGGCGCTGCCGGGGCCCAAGGGTCGTTCAAAATCCAAGGATCAAGACCTGGCGGAGGGGCATCCTTGGAGCACATCTTGACAGTGGCACTGGAGCCAACCACCTTGGGAGCCGAAGGAGCCGAAGTGCTGGGTTTGTCAGGTACCTTGGTGATGACAATCTCGCTGCCTTGATATCGGATCACTGGGTGAGGCGGTGGCGCACTTGCTTGGATCAGCCAGATATTGCCGAGGTGGCCGTCGGCAGCTCTGATTGGATGCAGGGGTCTCGCCTGCCATTGCCACGCACCACAGAGTTTGCTGACAGAAAGTCTGTCCATGCCAAAAGGCAGCGGACCCACCTCGTAGTTGAGTTTGGCACCTGCTGCAAGGAACACCGAATTGGGCTTCAGGGTTTTGGCCAGGTCAGGTGCGTCTGTGACACGACAACGGACACCAAATCGGGAACCCAGTCTGGCAAGACCAAGGATTTGAGTGGAGGTCTGTTGGAGCCTGAAGAGCTCTTCCAGAGGGGTACGGGCAAGCCACAGAATCTGAAAGTCCAAGAGTGGGTCCCGTCCATCAAGTGTCCTTGGTTCCAAGAAAAGTCCACCCCTCCCAGAGAAACGCAGAACACGCTCGGACAAGGAATCCACAATACGGATGTTGACGATGAAAACATCTGCCTGTGCTGGTGCAACTGGTCTGAAAGCAGCAGTAACCCACTGGCGACGCCAAACATCAATCACAGGGTCGGCAATCACAGCGTCAGGTGGAGGATGCCATTTGGGGCACTGACACGAACCAGAGCCCGGGTCGACAGAACAGGTCTGCACAGGTTCAAGCAATCCCAAAACATACTTCACAGGGCTTTGCACGACATGATCCCAATCACCATCGATGGCATCGCGATACAAGGAGAGCTTGAAGCAGGCCGCTTCCGTGTGCATGACATCAGGGACAGAGGCAGCTTGCTTTTGCACAACAGGTTGCTTACCCAGTTGAACCAACACTGAAGGGGCAATCAAGGGTTCACCATTGGCTTGGCAGCGGAGAACAGCACGGAGTGATTGCCAGGCAAGAGTGGTTGGCAAGGCAACTTCATCAACATTCAAGATCAAGAGCGCCAGGGGCCCTTGGGACACCAACTGGGAGGCTTTGAGGTACGGCGACGCTTCATCCAGAGTGACCAACACAACACCAGAAGCAACAGGGCCAAGAGCAGTCATTTGGAGTTGAGCAAGGGCAGAACCATCCGGAGCGACAAAGACATCCTCTTCCAGAACGAGCTTGGCCGGGTCAAGAGCCGCAGGAGCTTCAGGCTTGGACTGGGGCTTGGAAGTGCCCGGAGTCTTCTTGCGTTTGCCACGGATTCCACCTTGGGCAGCTTTGCGCTGCACAGCCGATTCGAGCTCCTCAGGCAATACCAGCTGGAAGGCCGGTTTGCATTGGTTGGCCGCTTGTTTGAGAGAACGCCATGGTTGGCCTCCAGTCAATGCACGCTGGGCAGTAGCAACACCGATAGCCTGCAGCAAGAGGTTGGCACGGTTCTTGATTTGGTTGGAGTCAACACCATGTTCCAGCAGGAGGGCATGGAGGCGGTCAGTGGCTTTGACATCAAGACCAGCACCAAACATCCAAACACGTGGGACTTCTTCGACGGAATCCAAGTAGGCAGCAAAGAGGGAACGCCCAACTGAGTGCAGATACTTGCATTCATCAAGATCGGTCGGGAGCATCTTACCTCGGATCATGCTGTCAAGGAACCTCAAGGCACAGATACCACAGTAGGAATCAACCGCAAACTTGCGATGCACGATGTGAGCTGTGTAGGTCCTGGAGCCTACGGCAAGGGCCAAGGCAGTATGGAGCATGGAAAACTCATGCGGCGGAGAACCAGGCACGTCCCAACTGGCAGCAATCATGCAAGACGGAGTCCAGGTCCACATGAACGGTGTCCAGTGCCCACCAAACAAAACCAAACCCAAGATGGCAGTAGGCTTGACCGGTTGGCTACGGATCCAAGTTGACAAAAGTCCACTACTTGGCCTCTTCAAAGCTTCTGCAGCAATCATGGGGTCAAGCAAGGCCCAACTAGGCTTTCGAGCGGCTCCAATCATCTGAGTGACATGCCAAATCAACTCATCATCGGCCCAGATGGCATTTTGGTTGGCCAAGATCTGTTTCCTGGCGGCAACATCCATGGTCTGGCGTCGCAAAGCATCAACAGTGGTGACATCGTCCACAGCAGGGGGTGGGACAGTCAACAGACGGGGCTCATCCAGCGAGGTCAGGGGTTCAAGTCGACCACATGGGCGGGAAGGACCAGGCAAATTCAAGGAGTCAGATCCGAGAGCATCATTGGCGGAGGCAAAGTCCAAGTCAGAAGCTTCACAGGGTTCGATCGGGTCTGGGTCCATGCACTCTTCTTCCGGCTGGACAACTTCCAATGGATACTTGGTAATCCAAAGGCAGAGGCCGGCAGCTTGGTGTCCATAGGCAAGAGTGAGCCCAGATTGGCAGTCCACAACTCTGCACCGTGCAGGATCATAGCCCGTGAATTCGAACCAAGACGTGACAACCGCAGCGACAGTGTCATCAGGGTCAGACAGACGAAGACAGCACGGGACAGGCTCATCCTCGGGGACAACCGTGCACGTGTCAGGGGGGCCATCATGACGGAACTTGGACCATGGAGCACGAGACACGTCATCAAGAGGTAAATCCATCGGCAATTCCACAGGGGGATCAGGCAGGATGGCATTGGGGACATGCTCCAACGGGACATGAGCAGCATGTTCAAGGACCAGAGCACGCAAGCAGTCAAGCTGGTGTGTTGGGGGTCGACCTGACTGGAACCGGAAAAGACCATGTCAAAGTGACGCTGCAGCAATGACCCAATCCAGACAGTATGCAAAGGACTGCACATCTGGCCCAAACCCGCCAAAATCAACCTCAAGTCCTCTGGCCAGGAGCTCGCAGGGACCCCATTGAGGAGGCCAACCTCGACCGGGTGAGGATGTCGAACACGAAGGTGACCTGGAGTACCTGAGTCATCGGTGCCATGGACAGGAATGAGGATGCCAAACAAACCACGCCCAGTGAGGGTTTGGGTGCTGAAACCACTAGACCTACACAGGCAATGGCAAGCGACCACTTGAGATCCCCACGAATGCAACGCAGTTGGTGCTTTGGAATCCAATCGCAAAAACATTCGAGCAAGGTTAGGCTCAAATTCCAAAAACCTTGCAAGCTCATCACCGGTCAATTCCAAGAGACGGAGTCACTGGCAGACATGGACACGGGACTGGACAAGACGTGACGTGGGATGCTCGGATGCTCCGACTGCTCGAATGCTTGGAGAGGAACCGGGCCTAAAAAGCTGGCAGTGAGGACTGCCCACCATCTGGTTCTACGTGAGACCCAGACGTCTTCCAGCTTCAGGACTACCTCGGAGATGTGAAACCCGCACTGTACACGGAACTGCTCCAGCTGATTCCTAACCATGGCATTCGATCCTGCATCCTGTACACATTCCAGCACAATTGCTAAGCTGCGCAACATGTGACCAACCCTCAAAGATTGCTCCAGCGTGCCAGACCTCTGATCCAGGGCACCTTTCTGCATTCCACCAGTGCTGAACGGTTGACATGAAAATCCGCTCATCAGGACAGTTGGCCGGGGGTGCAAAGCATGCAACTTCTTGATGGTCTCCTTGGAGCTGATGTCGCCATGAACGACTGGAACACCTGGGTGGATTTCCTTGTACGCTTCAGTGAAAGGACCTGACCAATCACAGGCGCCAACCATCGTCATTCCTGCCTCCTTGAATCCCAGAGCTCCCACACCGATCCCACTGCATAGTTCGACCATATTGTAAAGGTCATCCCGACAACTGCGTGTATGAAACAGCACATCGCTAGGATCGTCCGCTACGAAAACCATGAAGGGCGCTTTGTCCAGCAGCGTGGCATCGAAAATGGACAGTCCAGTGCAGCTCGATGGTACCTTGATAGCACCCAAAATCTTTGCACGGGTGCCACAAGGGAAGAGCGACACCAAAGCGCTCTCGGCATCGTGGGAAATGATGTCAGCCACCAGATCACCACGAGCACCGATCTCGGCCTCAGGCGGCCAAATCCAGCAAACCATTGCAAACAAAACGGAGTGACCAAGCGCACCCAACCTTTGGCCTGCACCGCTTCCCCGCTGGTAGGGAGTTGGGCCGGAAGCTAAAATAAAAATGTTTGAAACCGCCAATCAGATAAGGTAAACCTCATGCCAACCATCCTCAATACCAACCATAAAAAGTTGATCATAGCAAGGCAAGCGTATATGAACATAATCTCATGCTTTGATTCATACCCAATCATAACTCAAAGACATTGGTGTCACATTTTGCCCAAGATGGCTGAGTGTCTTTTTCAGATGGCCCTTAAGTTTTTCAGATGCCATTGATGCCGCGATTTGCCACCAGACCAGCGCTGACCGTTAGGATCCGTGAGGCACCTGTTCCAGTTCCTTGGCTTTGGCTTTGACCTCTTCCAACTCCTGAAACGGAACCGGCATCCATGCCGTGGATGGAGAAAATCACCGTGGATTCCCCGAAAATTTAGCCATGTAAAAGAAGCCTTGTTTGACTACCGGAGGGTTATGAGGGTGATCATGTTTGAGAATATCTACTATGAAATACTATAAACACATATATAAACACTAGATACTATGGCTAGCTCGGTTTGTGGAGATGTTGCGACTTGAAGTACTTTTCATGAATCACGAGAGTCCGTTGAAACAAAGACTTCGATTAGGGGAGGTTTTTTAGAAATAGGGCCCAAAAAAGTACGGTATTCTTGGGGAAGACATGGATCATGTCAATTTTTTCCCAACACCCAGCAAAAAACATGGCAAACATGGCATTCGGATACTCTTGTCCGGTTTGCAGCAATGGTGCTTGAAAACATATCCTAAAGTCAGGCATGTTAACCGTGTTAACCAGGCCACTCCTGGTTAAAAAACATGACCATCCAACCTTTTTTTTGAAATTCATCACTGCACTGTCGCTTTAGTTGGGATGATTTTTCCATTCAATTCCCTTTTCTGAAAAAGTCATGAAAAAGTCCATGGTTCCAATTCGCACCAACCAGATCCCCTCACATCACAACCGTCGGTTTGTGTTCGCTGGGGTTGACCCCACTCGCTTCTTCTTCGTTCGCTCTTCGAAAGTCGACTGAGTAAGCGAAAGTTGCTGCGAGGCTTGGAGGGGAGTTCTGAAAGGAACTCAGGTGCACCAGGAAATGTGACCATCTGGTTATTTAACTGGAAAATCCATTATAAATGGAGGTTTCTAGCTGGGAAAATCATCTGTGAATGGGCTATGGCTTCCAGTTCGCTATGTAAAATAACCAGAGGATATCTAATTTGCTTTGAAAGCATGTTAACTGCGATTTGTGGTACTTTGGAAATATGGAACTTATTAAATGGGGTAGATAAATCCAACAATTTCTGGTGATGGTCATCCCAGCATGAAAGTGAAATTATCCTTCCAATCTTTCAGAAGTGGGGGGTTTTCATAGCTGGATGGTTGATTTCTTACGGAAAATCCATCGAACTATATGGATAACTAGGGCTACCCCCATTTCAGGACATGCCATGAAATGCCCATTTAAACTCATTACTCCCCATGAAAAATCGGGCCATCCCATCCAACTCTTCACCATGTTCTCCGCGGGGTCATCAGGAGTCATCACCATGACCATTCCAAGTCATGGGTGGTGTATTGTTGTTTTACCCACATTATGAAAAGCCTCCACCACCAAAAGGCTGGTTGAAACATGTTGAAACCCTATAAACTGCTTGGTGGTATACCTACCCCTCTGAAAAATATTATGAAAGTCAGTTGGGATTATTATTCCCAGTATATGGAAAAAAACATATTCCAAACCACCAACCAGTAAATCATGGGATGTTTACCACCGTTTTCAACTGGTGCAGGATTTCGCAACCATCCACAGTGTATGCGAATGATTCAGCTCCAACTTGCTCATGGAAAATTAAGATCCAAAGCATCAGCATCCTTGGCCTCTGAAAAATCCCGCGCAAATTACAGGCTTTTACAGTAGCTGGTTGGCGGCTTTAACCATCCTGAAAAATATGAAAGTCAATGGGAAGAACTATCCCATATATTATGGAAAATAAAAAATGTTCCAAACCACCAACCAGGTAGTATCTAATATAGCATGCTTTAGCCACATCCTTGTTTCTGAAAGGAGCCTCCTTAAAAAAAAAACATGGTCATGCGAGTCCCACCATTGATGATTTCCCATATGTTCCCATCATGAAAGAACCATGGCGACTTCGGGGATTTCCCATAGCTATGTTAACCACATCATGGTCCCGTTAAAACATCCATTTACCATCTGGTTATTTGTTACATAGCCATGGAACATCACCATGCTATTAAAAAGGGTAAACCATCTATTTCTATGGGCCATGGCTTCCATGGCGAACTGTTAGTCATAACCAGAGGCTATCCGGGATTTCCCACGTTCAAAGGGCAAATTTACCACGAACTCCGAACTCCCTTCGCTGGGCGCCGCTGGCACGATGGACGCTTTTGGCTCGTGAGGAAGCTCGATTGCGGAAGGGCTTTCGAGCCTCCTGCAACAGCCATTGTCACACCCCAAGATATGTTAAATCCATATATTAAATCCTGAAGTAGAAGATGGACATGTCCGAAAATCCTTATATACTAAAATGAAAAATATTGCAGTATTGAAAGTCCATATTCTACTTCAGGATGATCATAGACAAACAAAATGTGAGTCAATTGGTTCACATCCCAGATGTTTAATGGGTGAGAAATTTGTTTTCCCCGTCCAGAAATTGGCTATCCCCTCTGTAGGATTTTCCCGTTGGGAGGACTCTTGGGATCATCTTTTCGAAGGAAAAACAATTTTTCTGCCACCAACATTGTGCAAAATATCACGCAGGTGGTTATAGTTTACACTATCCATCTTGGTTTTGCCCTAATGACAAGAATCAATCTTCCTATCACACATTTTTAGCAGGCTGCTCCTCTAGCTAGCTCTCTTTGTTGCTTGTATTCGTCTGATTTGGCAAAGAGAATTCAGTTGCGAAGATTAACAATGTTTTTCCCCATTAGCCAATCGATGCCTATCCCTGACTGATGGGTTGAAAATAAATGATGATGATCAGCTATTCAGTTTCTCAAGGTGACAAGCAAATGGGTGTCTAGCGAAGAAAAACTGTGGGAGTGATCAGCAAAAACACAAAGAATGGGGGCGAATATCCGTGTATATACATATATATATATATATATGTTTGTCTGAAAATAGTTACGGGCTGCACTTTTTTTGGGGGATTTTTTCCCGTTTTTTTTTGGGATTTTTTTCCCGTTTTTTGGGGTTTGATGGTTTTGATTGGTATTTGCAGCGTTTTGCAGCTAAGCTCTCTGATTTGCATGGTGTTGTTGTTGTTGTGGTTGGATGGATGGATGGATGGATGGTTGGTTGGTTGGTTGGTTGTTGGTTGGTTGGTTGGTTGCTTGCTTGGTTGCTTGGTTGGTTGGTTGCTTGGTTGGTTGGTTGGTTGGTTGGTTGGTGTTGGTTGGTTGTGGTTGTTGTTGTGGTTGGTGGTTGTGGTTGTGGTTGTGGTTGTGGTTGTGGTTGTGGTTGTTGTTGTTGTGGTTGTTGTTGTTGTTGTTGTTGTGGGTTGTTGGTTGTTGGTTGTTGGTTGTTGGTTGTTGGTTGTTGGTTGTTGGTTGGTTGTTGGTGATGGTTGTTGTTGTTGGTGGTGTGGGGGTTGTTGTTGTTGTTGGTTGTTGGTTGTTGGTTGTTGGTTGTTGGTTGTTGGTTGTTGGTTGTTGGTTGTTGGTTGTGGTTGTGGTTGTTGTTGTTGTTGTTGTTGTTGTTGTTGTTGTTGTTGTTGTTGTTGAGTGGTGGTGGTGTTGTTGTGGTGGTTGTGTGGTTGGTGTTGTTGGTTGTTGTTGTGGTTGTTGGTGTGTTGTATTGGTTGTTGGTTGTTGGTTGTTGTTGTTGTTTGTTGTTTGTTGTTTGTGTTTGTGTTGTTTGTTGTTGTTTTGTGTGTTGTTGTTGTTGTTGTTTGTTGTTTGTTTGTTGTTGTTTGTTGTTGTTTGTTGTTGTTTGTTGTTGTTTGTTGTTGTTGTGTTGTTGTTGTTGTTGTTTGTTGTTGTTTGTTGTTGTTTGTTGTTGTTTGTTGTTGTTTGTTGTTGTTTGTTGTTGTTTGTTGTTGTTTGTTGTTGTTTGCTGTTTGTTGTTGTTTGTTGTTGTTTGTTGTTGTTTGTTGTTGTTTGTTGTTGTTTGTTGTTGTTGTTGTGGTTGTGGTTGTGGTTGTTGTTGTTGTTGCTGTTGTTGTTGTTGTTGGTGTTGTTGGTTGTTGGTTGTTGGTTGTTGGTTGTTGGTTGTTGGTTGTTGTTTGTTGTTTGTTGTTTGTTGTTGTTGTTGTTGGTGGTGGTGGTGGTGGTGGTTGTTGTTGTTGGTGGTTGTTGTTGTTGTTGGTGGTTGTTGTTGTTGTTGTTGGTTGTTGGTTGTTGGTTGTTGGTTGTTGTTGGTTGTTGTTGTTGGTGGTGGTGGTGCTGCTGCTGCTGCTGCTGCTCTTGTTACGTTGCGTTCTTTTGTGTATTGTTGCGGTGCAGATGTGAAAGCAAAGTGCAAAAGACAGTCAAACGCATTGAGCCCCAAAAACTGAGATCGTATCAACGGTTTGATCAAATGGATCTCTTCCTTTCCTTTCCTTTCCTTTCGTTTGCTTTTCTTCCTTCCTTCCTTCCTTCCTTCCTTCCTTCCTTCCTTCCTTCCTTCCTTCCTTCCTTCCTTCCACCAGAAAACGGGAAAAAAAATCCCAAAAAAATAGCCCTCCAATAGTTACCCCTGATCGGCTAAGCATCATTTTCACCAGTACAAGAGCCACAAGTCGGTGTGTGTGTAGATTAAGTCGCCCATTTTCAGACAATGCCCCAGCTCACAGTTCCACTTTAGATTGGTGGTTAAAACCGGATTTCTGTGGTTAAAACTGACTAGTCTGGCTGTTAAAGCATGGTGAAATACCACGATTTTGGCGTTCAAACCACCATTTGGGGTTGTTAAAATCCTCCATGTTTAGCGATGGAAAGAGCTGAAGACTCGGCTGTTGGGAATTTCAATGACAGCAACCCCAAAAAAAGACGCAGAACTATTTCCGAACCTCACCATCACCTCCCCAGTGTTTTTCGGGAGCCTTCCACTGTTTCCGGAATGCCTGAAGCTCAAAACAGACTGGAACCGAAGGTCAGCACTGCCATGGTTACAATCCATCAAAAAAAACAAGCACTTTCACTTGCAGTAAAAAAAATATGGCGTCACGGTCAACGTTGGCTATCCGGCAAGAATCTCATTTTAAGAGGAACAATTACTACATTAGTATCCAGTATCATTCCTATATATATATATATGTGTGTATACAATATACATATTCGTACATAAGTTCGTTAATTCTCTTCAACCAAACAACAAACCAGACCCAACTTGCGCCTTTCCCTTCACCATGGCGCAGAAAGTGGTGAGTTGCGTGGACCACAAGAGTTTTTTGGTTTCTTCATGTTTCTTCTTTGGCTTCCTAGTGCTTCAATGTTGACTCATTATGTTTCTGGTTACCCTCTGGTAATTTAACATAGCTATAGAAAATCACCATTTTTAATAGGTAAACCATCTATAAGTGGGCCATTTTCCATAGCCATGTTAGTTTACCAGAGGGTATGATAATTTTATAAAAGAACAGATCTTTCGGTCGACCAGCACCAGGCTACAATCTCCGGCCAAAGAGCAGCAGTTTTCAGCCGAGGATGCACCAAATCGGATTTGAACTTCATACATGGAGCCGGAATGATTCATGCTGATTTGAAGCCAGAATTCAACAAAATAATGGTTTTATGTGGATATAACCTTTATATATATATATATATACCCATATAATATGATATTTCCAATAATAGTGATAATGGTTTGGAACTCCAGTTTTCTGGCTTGCGTAGGCTGTGTACTGCTTCATGTTGATTCTCTTGGCCAAGGATCAGCTGCGGTTCAGCAGGAGATGTTGACTCGATCAGAGTGATAGACCCCTAGTGTTTTCGATATAGCATTCAAGAAACTAGCAAAGAATAGATCTGAATAGTATATAATCCTCTCCCCTAATATTAGACACCCCATTTTTATGGTCCCAAAATGTCTCAAATATGTGTAAATCCCCTACTAAACCATGGTTTCTATGTGGTGCTCAATTTTTTTGGGGGAAGGGATTTATAATGATTTATAGTATATTTCGAGTATACAGAGTGTACAGGGTATACATACAGTTCTAACCCTAAGCACCAGGAATCTATTTTGGCCAAGGGCACTCCGGCTGGGAAATCGATGAAATATGAAGGGAGAAGGATTGGAGAAGGCCCGACTCAAACATGACAAGCCAGCAACTCCAGAAAAAAGGGAAGAACTAAAAGAACAATCGAAACCATTCAAACTCAAAGAACCCCATGTTATAATTGGGGGAACCCATCAGACCAATCAATTTGACAAGCTAAGGAATGGGATAGCCATCTTTTCCGTTCTCGCCATGGTCTGTGGAGTGGGCACCCCACCGGTGTCCAAAAAAGCCGCAGGACTGCTTCTTTGGCAGCGCAGATCCCGAAATCGCTTGCTCAGAAGGATCACCAACTTGGGAGCTGTCCAGGGAAAATGACTGGAACCATTGCCTTACTGGTGCTAAACGTAGGGAATGGATAGGACTGGGGGTTGCTGGGATGATTATTACTAGTGATACTGGATCAGTCCCGAAAATTCCCTACTAAGCACCAGTAAGCTGGTATTCATCAGAAATTAAAAAAGGAGACTGTCAGAAATGAACGCAGTCTGAAGAGTCGTTCACCCCACCACCCTGAGGCATTTTAGCAACCTTTAGTGACTCGTTATGACCCGTTGCTTTCCTTCCACAATGGTTCCCAGAATTTCTCAGACATCATCTCAAACTGAGTTGGCAAGCGGCAACCTAACCTATTGGGAACATCTGCCCTGTGCGGCTGGAAAATTTCTGAGCACCATAACTGTTGGTGTCTCGGCTGAGTTTAGGTGTTCCGTTAAAACTAACGGCCCCCGGCGGTACCCGGTACCAACGAGATGGTTACCTTCAGCGCGGAGTTCAGCGGAAGGGGTTCAACTTGGCAAAGAAGTCGCCAACGTTCGCGATCGCATCCTCGTTTTTCTCCGGGTAGAGAAGGGTTACGAGAAGCCATGGAGCCCTTGAAGATAGAATCACCGTGGTATCAGAAAGTCACTACTTAAAGGTAGAGTTTAATCACAACAACTGGAGTTGCTCCACACTACTGGGACGGGGGTTGGAAGTTAAGGGGCACGGTTCCCCACAGGTTCTGTAGACAGAAACCTTTATCCTGCAGACCCGGTATCTACAAGATCTACAAGTGATTGTTTTGCAATCAGGAGGAATCTGCAGACAGAGTTCTTTTATGATCTTTTATGTGTTTCTGCAAAATGTTCAAACGTTCAGCTGGCTTCCAAATTAACGCTCAGATGTTTTAGCTACTGGTCCACCCTGCGCCACCTTCACCACAAGGAGATCCACGCTACAACGAAAACCGGCCACAGGCGAATTTCTTTCTACGAAAACAGGCCAGAACATGCGGTGGGTAGAAAAAATCCTGCACCAATTTGGATGTTTGAAACCCTATACAGGATTTCGCAACCTTCCACAGCATTTTTAGAAACGAATTCCTAGACAGCCCGCTATGCAGCCTGTTTCCAAATTCCCCGGGAAGGAACCCCCGCTACACGGCTTCGGGGTCACCTCTCCACTCCGAAGGGGGGAAACCCCAAAACGTCATGACGAACATCAACAAAAGATGCCCGCAATGCCATAAACCATCCCCATGACGATAGTTAGATAGTTTCTACAAGCCACAAATGTGCCAGCCAGCCGATTTGAAAAAACCTTACCATATTTCTGTCGGAATCTGCAGCGATACCAATGACCCAGCTATGACTTTGGGTACCCATAACCAGGTGCCCAACATAGGTGTCCGGCAGATCTTCGGCAGCACCTCGGGAACGATGAAAGAACGAAGATGTGTGGTCGGGGGTTCACCAGTTGATTTTACCGTTTTTCAGAGAGGATGTGTATCTCATATACCCTCTGGTAATTTAACATAGCTATGGAAAATCACCATTTTCAATGGGAAAATCCACTATAAATGGCCATTTTCAATAGCTATGTTAAATTACCAGAGGGTAAACATGTTGATAAACTGGTTAAAATGGTTAATGTTAATTGAAAACTGCTTTTCAATCAACATTTGAATGTTATCTAGAAATGGATAAAAATGTTGATTGAAAATGGTGAAACACGTTGGTTTGATGGTGATTTAACCAACATCAGGACTTTTTTTTTAACGAACAAAAAATACGTTGATTCCCTATGTTAATGTAGACTTAGATCCAATGTTAGTATCTTACCAGGACTAAGAATTGCCAGCAGTTACCGACTCAGCAGTGTCTGGTGTGAGGTAACGGATGATGTCGGCAGATTTCGGCAGCAAATTGTGGATGATCTGGAAAAATATGTTTTTTTGTCATTGCTTGTACACAACCGTCAGTACTGTAATGATAATGATAATTAATGCTGGTTAATGATGGTTAATGATAATTAATGCTAGTTAATGATGGTTAATGATGGTTAAAACACCCCCTAATGGTGGTTAATGATGGTTACCATCTGGTTATGACTAACATAACCATGGAAAATCACCATGCTATTAATAGGTAAGCCATCTATAAATGGGCCATGGCTTCCATGGCTATGTTAGTCATAACCAGAGGGTACTAATTATATCCCACTATATCCCCGTGACATCCCCATCTCATGATGTTTGCCACCCATTTGTCTTGCTTGAATCCGTAGTAATCACCATTTTTCTTATAGCTATGGTGTCTAAACAACACACACACACACAATTAAAACGCTGTCATGAAATCATCACAAATTCATCCCCAGTCCCCAGGTTGATTGGCAAAATGATCAAGTTGCCTGTCATCCCCAGGTTGATTGGCTTAAAATATCTTAAAATTATATAAAATGATCAAGTTGCCAGATGTTGCCAGTGAAAGCAGCAGAAAGCAGCATGTTTCCAGTGCCTCCAACCGTCGCACTGGGCGGCTCCGACTGCAACAGGCTTGGATTCGCATCTCCAAAGATTTGGCACGTTGATACACGCCCTGCACCGCCTGGGAAAGCTGAGGGGAAATCGCAATTTTTCAGTGGCTGAAGGATGGAATGAACATTGGAATTCTTTAATGACTTTTTTGTGTATGCCCCTAGATTCTATTCCGACTCAAATTATTAGTTTCTTTTCCTGTTTCTTCGTATTGTACTTATTTTTCGTCCTGTTCTTTTCCT